TAGCCATACAGAGAAAAAAGTTATTCTCCCTTCCCAATCCTCCTTTGATCTACGAATGAGGGAGATCGAGAGACAGAAAAAAATCTGAGAGAGGGGTGAGGAAGAGAGGTTGCACGAGGCCACAGGACCGAGGGGTAGTAAGGGGAGAGAGTGGAGAGGGAGCAAGTCATAAAATGGAAGGGGAGGAAGTGGAGGAAAAGGAAAGAGGGATTATGGGAGAAATGAGTGAAGATAGGAAGAAAGGGGGTGGGGGATGCAGAGAGCGGGAGGGGGTGGGGCGATCGTAGAAAGAGGGAGATCCAAGGTATTTTATTACATTATTTTTGAATAAATAATCACAGACCCCGCTGTCTATCTGCACAGGTGTTTTAAGAGCCGACGAGCTATAGGTTGGTGACACTGGATACAGGTACCAATTTTAATTTTCTTGATCTCTTTCTTTCTCTCTCTATCAAAACACACACACACACATATGTATATACATATACATATATACACACATATTTTATATATATATATACACATATATATATAAACATAAATACACATATATACATAAATACATATGTGTGTGTGTGTGTGTGTGTGTGTGTGTGTGTGTGTGTGTGTGTGTGTGTGTGTGTGTGTGTGTGTGCGTGTGTTATACATATACATACATACATACACACACACACACACACACACACACACACACACACACACACACACATATATATATATATAATATATATATATATATATATATACCATATATACACACATGCCCCTTTCCCTACTCCTTCCTTCATAGCACAAAATCATCGAACATATACTTGTTATATGATTATAACGCTTTTTGCTGATATGAGTGTCATTACTAATACAGGGCACTAGGACTTCGTTCACAGTTTACACACCAGACACGAAACACAACAGTCACAAAATCGAGAAGTGGATTACACGCCGGCTGGTAGACAAGCAGCAGTGCGCGTCCGTCCTGCGCCGGTTCCAAAGGCTCACTATCAGAGCCTCCTCAGCTTTGGTAGTGACCTTGGCATCGCGGCACCCTCGGTCACAGGAGAGCCCGGGCGCGCCCACAGAGGGAGCTGTGAATCTGTCACGTGGAGCACGCATGGGGCCGGCGTGGGGCGGCACAAATGTATGAATTAAGTCGGGTTTACTGCTGAGTCAACCATTTTTTCAGCATTTTCATGAGCTTACAAACCGTACGCTGGGAGGAGGTGGTTAATCTCTAGCTTACGATTTTTAGAGCATCATAAAAATGACGATCCGGATCAAATAAAATATTACAAATTATCTATTGTCGTTGTATCAGGACTGTCAGAGGTGTAGTAATGAAAATTCTTATTTCCAATACAGAGACACTTGAACACATATCTGTTTTAGATTAATATCATTTTCATCTTTAAAGCCCCGTGTACAAAGACAGGACATCTTTCATTGACTAAAAAATCCAAGGTGTCCTATAATGGTTGCCTGAATGACTCTATAGATAACATCCCATTAGACATTGGACATCCTATGGCAGACATCATAATTTTTGTCTTTTTGCTTTATGCACTTTGGAGGGAGGAGGGGGGTCTTGGGAAAAGAGTAATTTTCATACACTTGTGAAAATGATGAAAAAAAATTAATGGACCTTATTCCCACACGGAAATGCTGGTTACCGATCAAAGTACAATTTAGGCCTATATAGTTTTCTCACAAAAATTAAAATTTGTACAAAATATCCGTTTTAGGATGCCTGTGAAAAGATATATATTTTGTATCCACTATAATAAAAAAAAGCGCAAAGTAGTTGAATGATAACAGAGTTAAGTAATGGAATGACCCATCTTTCTCATTTACTAATTTAAAAGAAGAGTTGACAACCGGTGCCAAATTTTCGAAAAAAAAAAAAACGATCATGAGATTGATAACAGAAATCACGGATTGATAAAGAAGGGGAAAGTTAAAGCCTTATCTGAGAAATATACTCCCCAAGTCTCCTCAATCTCCATAAGTAGATTTATCATGACCCAGATTATGCCCGGCAAAAAGAGATATGTATTCACGAAAACACTGTAAATAAGAGCATAAAACACGGCAGCTAATCACAAAAATGCAACGATTATTGAAGAGATATATACTGGTGGAATTTCTAAGGTTAGTCACCGATCGGAAAAAGACGAGAAAGAAAGAAACAAAGAAATACCCGAATATCTTTGGGGAGAAAACTGGCTATGGTCGGTTCCTTAATACAGTTTCGTAATAACGAGTGAGATAATACACTTTTATTCATATGACTACAAATTATGCATTTTTAAAACGAATATATTAATCAACTTTATTAAAATCGTCTTACGGCATTATCTGAAAACAGCAGGAACTTGCCCATTCAGTGCGTTCCTTCTTAAACAACGAAGAAATTAAAAGCACAAGTGACAATAATACAACGCGAAGGGAAAATACTGACCAGTACATATAATTACAAAGCGAAGAGAAAATGCTGGCCAGCAGATGTACTAAGAACTGAAAAAAATTACGTTACATTTTTCGAGAACTGTGATAATAATCGGAGAACGAGGAAATCAGAACACTACTACAAATATTAATTTTAAAGAGACATATTAACACCCAAAAGAAAATAATGGAAGCTGACGATTCCCATATACACGCAATAATATTTTTTTTAATCTATTTTTTTCCAAAAATCTCGGTGACAATAACCACAAGAGGAGACGAAGCCCGGTTTTCAACTCGACTTCATCATCAACTCCCGCATTATATTCACTTTCAGCTGTAGGTTTCGTATACAACTGATTCGGCCACCTTATTCTAACAGTTAAACGTATGTAGATTATAGTATGATATGTAGCCGCGAGAAAAGATATTTAAAATCGCTGTTAAAAGGATTTTTTTGTGTTCCTTCTTGAGACTTCCATAATGTCCCAACGGTTCTGCCAATCGGGTTTTAATATTTTGAATAATCTATCGATGCCGTTGGGCAAATACACAGCTTTCTGCTGGATAACTTAGCAAAATAATATGATAGTTATTTTTTCACTTGTGTGCTCACATAACACAAGAAAGTAATCAGATTTGAGTTTCACGGTTATAGGAGCAAATATTTACATTAACTCAAGAAATTAAATTTAAAAAGACGGTAATCCAATGTAAAGAAAAGATCTTATGAAGCATCAATTGTCATTTCACGATATTATTAGAAAACAGGGTTTTAGGTTTCCTTGTACTCTTTCTAACCTGTCCCTAACCACATCTGTTATTTAGTCATCATACTTTACCTAAACTTTAATTATTGTCAAGTAACAGGTTGCTTATGTTTATACAGGACAAATTAGATATAATTATTTTTCTTTAATTGTGTGTAGATTTTAAAATTTAGTGGAAAGTTGTGTAATTCAACATTACTGCTGTTTAGTATATTCAATAGAGGTTAAACTGTATTTACTTTGATCGCCTTTTTCAGTGCTACCATGTTTTCTTAAATAATAAATATCGGTATTTTCAAGAAAGGGGGCATAAAGATTCCTGTGACAAAATACATTTCTTAATATAATTATATAATTCATATGAAAACGAATGGAAAATTTATACCTCATGTCGACATTTGCGTCCACAGAAATCATGTACCATCAAAACTGTCCCGACCGAATGTCTCTCCCGTGGCAGAGCTGCCTGACCACGGTGTCTGAGCGCCTCGTTGCACTACTGACTTCGGGGATGCGATCAGACGTCACACTTCACCTTGAAGGACGCACGCTCAAGGTAAGCACTAAGACCGCCCTTAAAATTATGATTATTGTTGCTGCTGTTTTTTTTTTTTTTTTTTAATATGCATTGCCATTATTCACCAAATACTTCATAAACTATAACAGAACTTCGAAGCTGACAGCCCTCTTCTCTCCCAGGCGCACCGTCTGATCCTTGCCATGAACTCCCCGGTGTTTGACAAACTGCTGTATGGCAACGAAGACCGTCAGCCGTGCATGCTCCCCATCGAGTACCCGTTGCAAGACGATCCGCCTGAGGCATTCACATGGATGCTGGAGTACATGTACCGCGGCAATCCCGACCTCCCTAGCGTGCCCATGGCGCTGGAGGTCAGCGTTCTCGCCACCAAGTACCAGATGGGGGCGCTCAAGTCGGCTTGCTCCGAAGTGAGGATTCGCGTTTCGGCAACGCAACTTTTGTTTGTTGCTTTTGTTTTATTAACCACACTATCTCTCTCGCCGTGTCTGCTCCTCTTCGTGAAGATAATTTAAATAATATTGGCCACGTTGTACATGTTAGATATGGTTGTTCAGTCGCAGTAGGTACAGGAAACCTCACTTATTTTCTCCATTTCTCTGCAGTACCTCAAACAGCACCTGAATGATGTTAACGTTTTAAAAGTCTATGATGCCGCCGTTCAACTTGAAAATGCCGACCTCGTACACAGATGCCTTCAGGTATGTTCATCATCCATCCGCTTACAGACGATACGGTACTTATGTCACGATATTATTCCCCTCGCTTCTCTATCTCTTGTAATGTTAGCTTTAGAACGGATTTGGAACGTAATCTAGAAGTGTGGGCAGTTTAACTCGAATTTCTTTGACTCTCTCTCTCTACTCCTCTCTCCTCTCTCTCTCTCTCTCTCTCTCTCTCTCTCTCTCTCTCTCTCTCTCTCTCTCTCTCTCTCTCTCTCTCTCTCTACTCCCCTCGCTAACCGTGCTTATACTGATTGTTATATCGCACAGATGGCTAGAAATACTACGGAGGACGTGTTTTCCACGCAGCAAATGCGACTCCTCAGCAAACCAGCATTAGCTCATCTCCTCGCGAATTATGTTACCAACACCTCCGAGGTTCAGATATTCCGAGGGATCGTGGCCTGGTAAGTCATTTTCTTCACACTTAATTCACCTGACTCTCAACCTTCCGATCTTTATGCTAATTTATATATAAGAAATTACATTAATGACTGAGGAAAGATTTTTGGCGTCACATATTTCTAG